ATAAGCACTGGTGTTGACGTGGCCACCCCTCAGTGCTCCTCGGAGCGTGCGACGGGACAGACGGGACAGAGCGGTGCTGTGCGGAGCCCCCGCACAGACAACTCGTTCCTTGCCGACCCGAAGCGTTTTTAAAGCATTTTCTTTAGCGCGAGTGTCCTCGAGGCCAGACCGTGGGATTGGTGACCCGAAGCTCTTGTGACGTGTCTCCAGTCCCTGCGGCAGGTGCCCTCGAGGCTCTGCTCTGGGGCTTCGTGCCCCAGAGCTTTTCGCTGGTGTCTCCATTCCCTGCAGCAGGTGCCCTCGAGGCCCGACTGTAGGATGGCCGGGAGACGCTTCAGCCTGGCCAGGCTGCTCAGGAGAAAACCAAAGAAGGCAGGCCCTGGGCCTGTCCCAACAGAGCAGCCTGAAGAGATGGAGCAGTCCCAGCCCCTGCAGGAAGGTGAGTGGCAATGCTGGGTCACAGGGCTGGTGGCTGCAGCCAGATGGGCCTCTTCCCATCCCATTCCATCCCCTGTGGACATGGCCAGGGATAGGGAAGGGGGAAGAGGGCCCATGGCTGATCCCCCGGCAGCTCCATGCACTGGGCATCCCGGGGCTGGCCCTGCCTGTGGAGTGCAGGGCTGGGCTGTGTTCTCTGGGCTGTCCTGCAGCCCCTCAGCTCTGACTGCGCTCTTTCTTTGCCAGATCCAGGCCAGGACCGGACACAACAGCAGGGCCGTGCCTTTGGCCACTTCCGCAGGGCAATACAGGTACCTGCAGTGTGTCACAGGGCCCTTTGTGACACAGTGGGCATCACTAATGGGATAGACTGGGGCAGGGTGTCACAGGGCTCTTTGTGACATGTGATGCCATCGCCTCCCGGGTTGGGTCTGCTGTCCCTGCTCAGCCTGGCACTGCTGACGGAGCTCTCCATGGCACATCCCTCTCTTCCCTGCCCTTTGTTCTCCTGCAGGCCTTTCTGACATCCTGGAGGCGTAGAGGGGCCAGGATCACACCAGCTGTGGTCGTGGCACAGCCGGACCCCACGCCGAGTGAGCTCAAACCAGAGCCTGATGTCGGCACCATGTCGACTGATGGCAGAGCCAACGGTGACAGCGCGGTGACCGATGAGGTGACAAACTCCAGCACCGCGCTGCCTGAGCTCACCACAGAGGCTGAGGGTGCAACGGCTGAGGACAATGCAGACACTGACAGCATACCCACTGAGTGCCTGTCTGATGCTGCCAGTGTCGAGGATCTCTCGGAGGAAGTTGTCTCTGCTGAGGTAAGCAGCCTGTGGGCAGGCATTGTGTGGGCCCTCCAGTCAGGTCTGCTGGGCCCTGTCAGCCTTTGAAAGCAGCACAGTGTGGGGGGAAAGGAAAGAGTTCTCAGGGAGCAGTGGGCAAGTTGCTCACTCTGGCCACTCTGCCACATGCCCCCTCCAGGCCAGCTTTTTTGTGCCATGTCTCCTGCAGGCATCCATGACACCAGCCAGAGATATGGAGCAGAGACCCCCCCGTGTGCCCAAGCTGGCCTGGGTAGAGGAGGAGGAGCAGGAAATCCCTGGGCCTGCCCCAACCCAGCAGCCTGAAGAGATGGAGCAGTCCCAGCCCCTGCCAGAGGGTGAGTGGCAGAGCTGGGTAACAGGGCTGGTGGCTGCAGCCAGATGGGCCTTCTCCCATCCCATCCCATCCTCTGTGGACATGGCCAGGGATAGGGAAGGGGGAAGAGGGCCCATGGCTGATCCCCCGGCAGCTCCATGCACTGGGCATCCCGGGGCTGGCCCTGCCTGTGGAGTGCAGGGCTGGGCTGTGTTCTCCGGGCTGTCCCGCAGCCCCTCAGCTCTGACCACGCTCTCTCTTTGCCAGATCCAGGCCAGGCCAGCGTTGCAGACACCCCCAGCAGGCCTGCTCAGAGTGAGAATTATACTCCCACTGGGGATGTTTCTGAGGAGAATAGTGTCTCCAGTCCAGAGCAAGTAAGCAGCCTGTGGCCAGGGCTCAAGCCACCCTAGGCTTGTGTGGCCCCTCAAGCCAGCTCCCCTGGGCCCACTCAGCCTTTGAGGCCAGCACCACGTGGTGGGAAGGGAAACACTTGTTGGGGAAGCTGGGTAAGTTGGCAGCTCTTCCCCCATGCCTCCTCCAGGTGCCAGCATTCGTGAGGAACATGCAGCAGGCCCTGACAGGCAGCAGCAGTCCAGAAGAGGAGCTGCTCATGGAGTTTCTGAGGGTGACCAAGGCATACCCTGCTGATGTTGTGGTCACCCTCCTGCGCTGTGCCCCATCCTGTGACAGGTACAGGACCCCCTGCATTCGGGGCTCAGGGCTCACCAGTCTTTAGAGCCCCTCACCCCGTCCATCCCATCCCACGTGGTCTGCCAGAGGGATAGAGAGTTCCAGGATCCCCTGACCCCTCTGTTTCCCAGCCCTGCTGTGTCAGCCCCGATCCTGCTGCCATGCTCCCTCCCTGCTCCTCAAGGCCCTTTGGCCAGCACCCCCTTACACACAACTCTGGCCCCGCAGAGCTGCTGCCAGCATGTGGAGGACCATCGCCTCTTCGGGAATGGCACTGGAGAAGGTGCTGCCAGAGTTGCTCTGTGTGATGGAGGACTGGCCATTGCACAGCTCATCCACCTCCGACGGGGACAACACGCCTGTCTTTGCTCTGGCTGTGAGTTTCTGCAATGGGC